GTGTGTGTGTGTGTGTGTGTGTGTGTGTGTGTGTATGTGTGTGCGCGTGCGTGCGTGCGTGCGTGCGTGCGTGTATGTGTGAATGTGAATATGGGGGAGCGCATAGACGTTCATCATCCTTTGTCTTTCATAGCGGGCAGGAAAGTTACACCAGAGATGTGCATTTTGGAATGCTTTCATTCCAAAATCCTCAAATCATGTGTTTTGCGCGATTACATTCTCAATAGATTGTAGTGGAAGCGAATGGAAGCATGCACGCACGCATGTACACTCACACAGACTCGCGCGCGCGCGCACATATACGCACATACGTGACCGCACGCACGCACACGCATAACATGCCTTTTTACACAATCTTATTCTTAATCGATTGTAGTTAAATTGAAGCCAAGCATGTACGCATGCACACATGTACATACTTACACAGGCGTGTCCGCACGCACGCACGCACGCTAATACAGGCTCATGCTCATATGTGCACACGCAGGCACACTATAGCTATGCACGTCTGATCTTACGTCTTTTCTTCGTTTTTCTTTTTTCTTTTTTTCTGCTTCTTATTCCGCATCTCCTTCTCCTCATTTTTCCCATTCTCCGCCTCCTCCTATTCCTCTCCCCTCCTTCTCCTCCACTTGCTGCGAAATTCTCATGATAATCGGGTTATTAGACACCTAATAAGACAGCCAAACGTAAGCACACGGAAATATAGCAAACGTTCAAAGTTCTCAATAGGTCACAGATGGAATAAATCCGCGCATTTGCGCCACTAGATCAAGCTCATACATTTGCATTGATTCAATAGTTCGTGATCTGGATATTCATTCACCTGCGTAGATCACCATAGTCGATCTGATCCAATGGAGGCCAGCAGGAAATGTTAGCCTCAGAATATAGGTAATCGCATTTCCCCGTTTCTGGTATACTTACATACATACCCCCGTACCCCTATAGTACACTGCGCCTTTCCACATTCACCAGAATTATAGCTGGGTTTATCATCGGAACTAACTATATGTGATATATCGTGTATTCAACAAGTGAATTCACACCGAATATACTTCTGGTTATCGACAATTTCGAACGTTTTACATTTTACCAATTTAAATTTTGTATTAAAATGCAATGCAGTCGCATATTTGTAAAAATGTTCCATTCGAAAAGTGTAGGTTGTACGTAACGTAAGTCACTGATTCATAAAGCATTTATAATATATATGTAAAAAAAAAGTATAGTAGAATGTCACGTCGTGTTTACAAGCGGCACTCTTTGTACGTACATATTCGACGGCTCGCGCTCCTGAACCGGTTTCCTGCGTGCTCCAACAATTGCTGGTTGCCCAAGCGTCAAACAAGGGGGTAGGCTGGCTGACGCGCGGTCAATGAACGAAGGGCAACTTCCGTGGCCCATTGCAGCGCGCGCGTGCGGTCGGGACGATTTCATCTAGTATAGTACCTATATAATGTACTACTAATATGCAGTAAGAGTAGCTGTGTGCTACATTGCTTGCTTGGTTCTCTTGAAGTTGCATTTGCACCTGTGTACAACGATATGTCAGCGGTGAAATGACTTGGCCGTGAATCCGGTGTCTGCTGCTGCTGCTGCTGCTGCTGCTGTGGATTACTCAGTGATTTCTACTGGCCTTCTCTATAGCCGGTGCCTCTACGATATAGCAATAATGGACGATGGTAACACTTCGCACTCAAGCGCGTTTGGACAGACGTGGAGCAGCTAACAGTCAGGAAATAGAAAGGCAACAAGAGTGAGCGAGATAGAGAGAGGGGGAAGAGAGTGTGAGAGGCAGAGACCCGTGGCTCGTTCAGCTATTTTATCGGCAGTCGTGACGCGAACTGGAAAAAGATACACGTGTACGAGATAGCGACGGGCATTTCGTTTCAAGAATATTCATGTAACCTCAAGCTACTGGAGCTAATGGGACGGTGACAGCAACTGCCACTTAGTAGCAGAACCAGGCGAGCAGTGACTTTTCGCAGTCGTGTGCGGAGCCAGTACGGGAGAACTACTCTCCTACAAAGGTGCGACGAGTACGTAATGATGAAGCGAAATATGGAATCGAGTCGTTATCGGTTGATCTAGGTAGGAGCAACGACCTGTAAGAGTCCGAGTGATCAAGGACGCTCAATAATAGAAGCAAGAACCTGTAAGAGTCTCGGTGAAATAATATCATACAATAATAACAGGATAAATAAGGGACAAATAATAGGAGCAAGGACCTACGCAAGTTTAAGTGAGCAAGGTTCCCGTAAGGGTCTGCAATCGGAGCGAGGAGGTTGCCAGCCATGGTTGAGCTGTACACTGTGTTATCTCGGTGGAGAGTGAGATGGAGAGTTGGCATCTCCTCATTCGTCGGTGGCCTAGCATTCGGCTGCATGCTTGCCTTCGTCATCCTGCCACACAGAACAACCCTGGACGTCAGTGATTCCTGGACAGTGATTGGCCACAGCGAGACACTGCCAGGAGAGTCAAGTCTCGACGAGCAAAGCCGGGGAAGCCAAGGTAGAGCATATCTAAGAGGTTTGCCCGAGTCTGTAGTTTGGAGGGAAACCCAGGGGTAACGGGTTTGGATTGGGCACATGTACTCATGCCGATATGCATTTTCTTATACACTCCTGATTAGATCTATGTCTATTGGTAAATAATGTCTGGTGCTATATGTGGTGATGGAGGTCTAACTATATTACGTCTCAAAACTATGGCGAGAGCATGTAATTGACAGGAAGACTGTTAAAGTTGGTGGCGCAGACGATGCACATAATATCACTGTATCCGTTCTGTGTGTAGGGGAAAATACAGATCAACATGTTAGGGTTGCCTGCCTTATTCCAACTACGCCGGCGAACGTTAAATCAAAGGCAATACACGTGAAAGCGACTTGGGGCAAGAGGTGTGATGTGCTGGCCTTCTTCAGTTCAGAGGAGGATGACCACCTGCCAGCCATCAAAACAGGTTCGCCTTAGCAACGCATGCTTCATGCTGGAGCTATACAGCTCGGCGGTCTAGCTCGGCAGAAATTGTTTGACTAATTAAAATAACGGACATAGCAATAATCTATTCTAATACCTGATTACATATTTAGGTTAATAGATATGGTAGTATATAAAGTAAAAAATAGAGGGTAAAATAATTTCTTCCCCCAGCTGTTTCTTATATAATAAAATAGACTATGTTGTTAAACAAAGGCAGGGATGCTCATACTATACTATCCTATCATACTATACGGATATCGGGGTAACATGACTTGTGAACGCGGACAGTTGTCGAGAAGTCAAGACGATGTGCTGCAACGTACGCAGTGCAGATATTCGCGAGCCAAACATTAATTAATGCTCTCTTTCTCGCTCTCTCTCTCTTTTTTCGGTGCGGAATAGGAGTGGTAGAGAGCAGAGAACAACTGTGGAATAAGACGAAGTTCATGTTCAAGTACGCACACGAGCACTTCCAGCAACGTGCCGACTGGTTCCTCAAGGCGGACGATGATACTTATGTAGTCCTGGAGAACCTGCGACATCTGCTGTCTGGCTTCCGTACAACGGACCCAGTCTACCTGGGAAGGAGGATTAAAAACTTCGCCGTAACTGAACAAGGTGATGGGAGTGGGAAACCGCACAGTACCACATATCCTACTGTTTCTCTCTATTTCCCCATCTCACACTCTTTTGCTCTCCATATCGATCCATCCATCCATCCACCCATCCATCCATCTATATATCTATTTATCTATCTGTTTCATGCACACACAAACAATCATACAAAATGTAACAACTAACAATTATAACTACACAATAGCAGGGGGTTAATAATGACAAACAGTCATTATTGTCATAATGACAATTCGCCATTATTAATCACTGACAATATCAATACAAATGATCGGTCTATTTGGCTCACCAGGTTACATGAGCGGCGGCTCCGGCTATGTACTCAGCAAGGAGGCTCTGAGAATGATGATAGAGGAGGGGATCGATAACTACAACGTCTGCCACGAGGATGGCGGAGCAGAGGACGTGGAGATGGGGCAGTGCATGGAGAACCTAGGTGCGTGTTGCCACCAAGTATAGTATAGTATAGTATAGTATAGTATAGTATAGTATAGTATAGTATAGTATAGTATAGTATAGTATAGTATAGTATAGTATAGTATAGTATAGTATAGTTATGTGAGTATAGCTATAGTATGGTTATGGTTGGTTTATGTATGGTATGTTATGGTTATGGTATGGTATGGGTATGGGATATGGTATGGTATGGTATGGTATCGGTATGGTTTGGTAGGGGTATGGTTATGGTATGGTATGGTATGTATTTGGTATGGTTATGGTTATGGTATTGCGTATGGTATGGTATGGTATGTTGGTTGGTTATGGTATTATGGTATGTATGTGATGCGTATGTATGTATGGTATGCGTATGTATGGATGTATGGTATGCGTATGGTATGGTATGGGTATGGTATGGTATGGTATGGTATGGTATGGTATGGTATGGTATGGTATGGTATGGTATGGTATGGTATGGTATGGTATGGTATGGTATGGTATGGTATGGTATGGTATGGTATGGTATGGTATGGTATGGTATGGTATGGTATAGTATATGGTATGGTATATGGTATGGTATGGTATGGTATGGTATGGTATGGTATGGTATGGTATAGTACAGTACAGTACAGTATAGTATAGTATAGTATAGTATAGTAATATCTGTGTGCGTGCGTGCGCGCGCGCGTGTGTGTATTCATGTATGCCTACTAAAGAATTCTGTAATCCACAATGTCGATAGATCCCTATTAATTTGTTTGTTTGTTTGTCTGTCTGTTTGTTGCCACACTTATGTACTGTGCTAAGGGTGGCGTAATAACCACTATTGTGAGATCCTTCAATCACGTAAACAACACTTGCCCCCCTCCCCGCCCAAACTATGCACGATATCATTAATACATAAATACATAATAGGGGGTTACTGTTACTCTGTTAGATCTGTTTATTATGTGTTCCGGATAATATACCAACGATAATCGGATGTCAGTGACTGCGGTGAATCTAGAGCCTCAGCGCGCGCCGGGCTGCTGCGGTGCCGTTTACATGCTCATCGACGGGCGACAACCGTTTGCTCATGTGTGTGCGCTGTGTCTCACACGGTGTTGTTACTTGCTTGGTCGTCCGCAGGAGTGGAGGCGGGAGACTCACGGGATGAACACGGGGAGGAGACATTCTTCCCGTTCCTCCCCGAACACCACCTCAACATCCACCAGGTTGGCGACCCGGATTTCTGGTTCATTTCCATGTCCTGGTATCCACACAAGAAGGTACGCAAGCCCACCGCGTAACCTAATGCAATCTGGGGGTTCTGAGATGAAGGGTAGGGTAGAAACTTGCTAGAAAGAAAAGGTTCTGAACGTTGAAATAAGGTTGTGTGAAACAATGATAAAATCTATAAACACGAAAATAATGCACGAAAATAAAACACGAAAATAAAAGCAAGAAAATAATGTGCAAGACAGTGAAGTTATAACATAATGTTCAGTAGATGCCTATTAGGAATCTGTTAATCTCCAACCATGTAGGCCTTCGCTCCACAGCCTGTTATAGAGAAGAACTCGGGGGTAAAGGCAAGTAAACCCTATATAGTACCTAAGTACACTTAGGTTCTATTGAATCCGACAAAGCTGCAGTCATAATACCAGGAGTAGTAATATAAACTGCTAGTTGCTTAACACGGGTAAGCATGATTATTCCGTTTCTTAGATATAAAGCGGAATGACACACAACTCTTCTACTTTTCGATTACTAGCCGTAGTAGCCTAGCCCATTTCACGAGATTTCTGCCAATACGAGGGGGTAGCCACGCCTACTCCTCTGGTCACCAGATGACGCTATACACGGTCCGGTTACGATTGTAGCATAGATTAGCGAGTATATTCGAGTCATTCTACTAATAATTCTACTAGTAATTCTACTAACAATTCTACTAATAATTCTACTCGCTAATCTGTGATTGTAGGGACTGTCGTGCTGCAGCAGCAAGGCCGTGTCGTTCCACTATGTCACGCGGCCGATGATGTACACGCTGGAGTACCTCATCTATCACCTGCACCCGCACGGCTATCACTACAAGTGGTCACCCCAGAAGCAGGACGTCATGAGCGAACTGCTAGCGAATTTACCACCGAAACGACAGCGGCGGCGGCGGCGGCGCAAAAATTCCACCGCGAACTCACCTAGTTAATGCGATTGGTGCCTTGGACATTGAACAGCACCACGAACAGAGGCCGATGTAACAGTATTATAACATAAATTAATAATATTGTATAGTATATAAACAGTTTTTTTATAAAAGATTTATCTAGAGGCCTTGCTAGAGACAGCATATGAATCACCGGCGATTTAAATGGCAATTTATATGCTCTGCTAGAGATTAGCTATACTTCCCAACTCAGGATTGATCGGTGATAACTCAGGAGTAAACCAATAGTTGGTAGCACTAACGGTGTAAAATGATTCGTCTTATGTCTTATGTCACATAATTACATGTCAAATTTAATTTTGGTAACATGACTTAATCTTTAGCCAAAAGGCCCACGGCAATGTGATATAATAAATCTAAGAAATCATCAATAACGTCAATTTTAGTCGTCAAATAGCCGTCAGTTAACGATTAACCTAGCGATAGCTAATATTAACGACTTTATATAAAATTTATATTGTATTGCATTGCATTGAACTGTATTGTATTGTATTGTATAGTATTGTAATGTTTCACATCTAAATGCAATGAATGATAACAAGAGCCGCAGAGCGTCTGGGCTCATCTGAGGTCTGTTGCTACGATTATAAACGTAAAATTTTGTTTGTTACAATTACGTTTTGTTAGGCGCAGATATGCAGACACGCAGTTGCGTACACATCATTGTTAGGACACGCCCACTATCGCAGATGGAGGGTAGGGGGAGGGT